ATGGACATTGTTCAATAATCTTACATCTCCCCTTCTTTAGATATTTAAATACTGAAAGTGAAAGAGATAGTTCATGTACCTTGCTGGAACAATATTTGTTTTGTTTTGTCTGTTTTTTTAGATTTGTTTTTCCTTTAATGTAATATATATATAGGTGTTTTTATTTCTACACCCCCCCCCCCTCTTAAAAATGAATAAATGAAGGAATGAATGAATAAACGAATGAATAACATTAGAATCTATATACACTTTCTATCATTTAGGAGAGGTGGACTCGACCCTTACATGTAGGCCTACTGTTTCATGTATCAGGTAGACCTCTCATTAGCTCCTCGGTCTCGCTCTCGTCTTGTCTTGTTGAGAACAACAGCTTCTTGGTAGTTTGGCTGCTTCACCCACACCGGTTGGCCTTTGTTGAACGGCGGTAGAGGAATGGCACGGTGTCTTTGGTCATAATATGATTTCTATTGCTTTTTCTCTCTAGCATCTGCTTTTTCAAATTGTGGGAGGTGCCGTCGTCTTGGTTTGTACTGTGATACCATTGCAGGGATCTTGGTTCTCAGTCGTCTGCCCATCAGTAATTTTACAGGACTTGGTTGTTGCGTTTATTTCTCTAGACGTTTGAGAAATGTCCCTTTTTCTTACAAATATAGCATTCTTCACCGAAAGCAGGACAATTCCCTCCTCTGTGGTTCTTTCCGCATCTTCCACTCTGTCGAAATTCTTTCTTATCATTAAGTGATCCTTGTTCATACGTGTATCTCTTTGGTTTTGGATGTTTCCTACTGAACTGGTTAGATGCATGTAGCTTGTCCACCGTGCATGATGTAGACATTGCTTGTGTCTGCGTCTTTGCTGCTTCTTGAGCTCTGCAGATGTTCACTGTCAAACCCAACATTCGCTTCTTTTGTTCTAACAGTTTCTGTCTTGTCATGTCGTCTCTCAGTCCAATCACCACTCTATGCCTGATCATTCTGTCTTCTTCAGCAAAGTTGCACTTTCTTGCTAGCTGTCTGAGGTCAGTAATGTAGGTGTCGACACTCTCAACTTCTTTCTGACTTCTTAGATGAAAGTTGTACGACTGGAAGACGTCGTTAACTTCCCAACGCAAAGCGTATCAAAACGCCCGAATGAGTCTTGTGAATCCTTGTCACTCATCCGAAAACCTTCAAGGACATCTAATCCCTCATCACCTATGCAGGTCATGTAAACTTCGACCTGAAATTCTTTGTTTTCTTCTTTTAGTCTGGAGGCAACAGCATTATTTCTCCATTGTCGCTTAAATCTTGACCAATTCTGATGGAGTTTAGCTCCATTGCTGAAGTCTTGCTTGGACGGCTGTGGCAGGTTTGCAGTAACATGTGTAGGGGTACTTGCATTTGCAGCCCTGCTTCCCTTTCTTGACTCTCAATCGGTCATGGATATGACAAAATCTACGTAGATCTAGGTGTACTTATCTCAGTACTGTAGACCTAGATCGAGATCATTCGAAGATAGATCCACTTGACCCTATAATAGACCACTTTACTCTTGATCTAGATTAGACAAGAATTATAATATCGCTTCTCTCTAGCTACCTCTGTCCCGAGCCCCTGGTTAGCAATATAACTTACTCTAGATCTAGTACCATCTCTAGATCATCTGCTGCTTTGATTGTGCTACAGATTTAGGGTTCTAGATCACAATCTTCAGACATTATGTAAGGTTCGGAGTAATCAGTAGAACATTGATGTAGACAGACTGTGTTTAAGGCCACAAAATGCAACGTCATGTTTACTAGTAGGCCATGTTTTATTGACTGATCTCCGGAACTCTTCTTCTACATTGAATGTTAGGTTAGATTATTTTATAACAATGGACATTGCTCAATAATTCTACAATTATGGCCTATGTCACTGCTCACCAATACACGTAACACATTTGTGTCACAACGCGGTGGAATCAGGCACTCGTTAGTTTTTGGGCGTATGGAGTCAGTAGTATCAGAAACAGGTGGGATTGCCTCGTTTCAGAAGCAAAATTAGCGAGAAAATGGCCGCAGAAGTTTGGTAACTTCAAAAGCTTTAGCGTGTTCAGAAAATGTAAATTTACAATTTGTGTGCCTTTAATCAACGTTTTTCAGTAAAATCCACTCAGCAATGTACTTTCAAATTGACACTAAAGGTGAGAAGTAACCCCCCCCCCCAACCTAAATCGATAAAAACTGACTAGATCTACACGGAGCGCGCGTTATCAGGTTCCAGGGCGACGCCAAAACAAAAAGCGATTCTACGGATAAAAAGGAGCACAGTTCACCAGTTCACCAGTTCACCAGTTCACCAACCCATTTTTAGGCATCCTGGGAAAAAGACGGAGATAACCGATCAAATAAACTTCCTCACACTAGAAATGAGCTCAGTTATCCTGCGCGCATCAGACAATTGTTATCCACAACACCGATTTTAAAGCGCAGGTTCTTTGCCGGTTTTCCCACTCACACGCACATTCTTAACCCCCCCCC